AAGAATCCAATATCCCAATCTTGCAACAGGAAATGGAATCCTTGACTTAAAACAACAAGGGACTTACCATTGTATCCTTCTAGGACAGAGTCAATGATAGGTCTTGCAGTTAAGTTATAGACATCCAGCTGTTTACTCTCTGGTCCAAACACTGTGTCAAACGTAAATGTCTTGGGAGGCTCATTGGATGAGTCTGTTTTATGAACAGTTATAGTTCCTCTCATTTCATCTACATTGACTGCCATTTTGTAGCCTGTAGCTTTCTCTCGTTCATTAAGAGGCCGGCATCGAACAACCACCTTGACATTATCACAGCTCTCTGGCTTGTCCAGCTTCTCAGGCTTGTTGATCTGCGATTATTAAAAAAGAAAAAAACCCCTATACACAGGCTGTTACACTATTGTTAACATACATGTGTGTTTAAACACAAACACTGTTGAATCAACTCAAGTCGATGCATACATCTCCATCAGATCATGAACTCAGGGACTTAAAACCAGAACTGGTTTATCATTAAAGCTGAGAGAATCATGCACACTAATTCAGTCAATGCCATCTTCTTCTGCTTGCTAACGTGGAAAGTGATCAAGTGAAACTTGAGAATTTCACATTCAACATCATCTATTAATTTCTTCAAGAAACAAGTTCATCCTTGCAAACAATCTGCAAGCAGTTTGTTGGAAGCCGGTGCAGTCGTGCCATTCTTTTACATTAACACTGACCCTGCTCTCTCACTGGAGCACACGTCTCAAACCTTACAGATGACATAAGCAGATATCAGTGAGCACTGGCTGAAGGGAGTTAATTTAAGCTACAAGCTTCAGTGTACTTGCTGAATTTTAATCATTTAGAAAATTCAAATGCTGTGTTATAAAAACTCACAAACCTTCTCTTTCATGAAGTAGTTACCAACACTAATTTTGAAGCACCACTGATTAATTTCACGTCACATGCTTCTCCTGATTAAATAAATCTAAACTCCATTTGATCTAGTGAAGTCTAAGACGCTACCCTTGAGGATAGGTGCTGTAGCTGAGCGTTTAACTACTTCTAAAGCAGCTGTCTTGGATGTCAACAAGAAACAAATCCTGTTTCTAGGCACCTCTCCCACCAGCTGCCACCTGCCTAGATTCCTCTCAGGCCTCAGCAGCGGCCAGAAACAGCTTCTGTTGCTCTGGTGAAAGCAGAGAGCCGATTAGTCTCATCTTGGTGGAGGAGGGAGCCCACACTCTTATTCTACAACCGTAGGTGCATGAGCCTTTCCGAAATCAGCTTCAGAATTAGTGAGTCACGGCGAGCCCCACACCACCTCTCCATTGCGCTGTCACGCACAGCCTCCCCGAGGAAAGCACGCCGGCCGAAACGCCGCCCGAGCCCGCGCTGAGCAGACACCCCCACTCCTCCTGCCTGGCACTGCCCCGGTCAGGGCCGTTTGCCTCACCGGGCTCCGCGGTGGCAGCG